AAGAGAAGAGAAGAGAAGAGAAGAGAAGAGAAGAGAAGAGAAGAGAAGAGAAGAGAAGAGAAGAGAAGAGAAGAGAAGAGAAGAGAGAAGAGAGAGAGAGAGAGAGGCAGAAAAAGAAAAAGAAAAAGAAAGGGTGGGAGAGAGAGAGAGAGTGGGAGAGATAAAATGGGAGAGAGAGAGAGATGGGTTGAATGAGAGAGAAAATCAAAGGATTAAGGCAAAGATGACAACAGTCTACCTTTAACACCTTGACTTCCTTTGGGCAGTATTTGAGTTAATATGACCCACATGTGAACGCTTACCTGTGGCAGTGTTTGGTCACTGTTTATATCCCAGTCTCCTTCCTGTAGGGTCACAGTGCTATGTTCATATTCTATTTTATACAATGTTGGTAAGTATGTGGTCAGAATGTATTCAAGCCCCTCCCTGGCCACAGGGTTGTGTTCATATCTTCAGATTTATATTTGTTGGTCACTGTTCACATTCTGGTACCCTTGTATTCTTGACATTTGTACGGTCAGTATTCCCATCTCCTCAGTGCATACATTAAAGACACTCTTTTGTGCATGAAAACTTTGTGAATTTCACTAGTTTGCTTATATGTGTCAATTTCATGCTAAAAAAAAAAGGAATCACAACTGATACATTGTATAACACTTAATTTGGGCAAATAACGAAGTTTCTTGCCATAGAAATAGCTTTAATTTACAATTTGTTAAGGCTTCATGTCATAAAAGCTTCTATTTTTACAGTAGTCACAGAGTTATGTTTACACGGCATGATTTATTTTGTCGCTGCTTACATTCTGGGGGGTGTTTCATAAAGCTGTTCGTAAGTTACGCACGACTTTACGCACGACTGGAACATGTTCTTGGGTGCTAATCAGATTCTCAATCATTTACATGTAGCACAAGAACATATCACCAGTCGTGCGTAAAGTCGTGCATAACTTACGAACAGCTTTATGAATCACCCCCCTGGTCTCCTTGTTAAAGAGTATGAGTATAATAATTATGTTCCTATTCTTCTTTGTAGAGTTTGATTAGTGTGGTCAGTCTGTGACCATACAGTCTCCTTCCTGTATGGTCAAAGGGATATGTTCACGCATATACCTTCTGACTTTGTTTGGTCAGTTAATATTTTAGTATCCTTCCTTCATGGTATGGACACAGGTATAGGTTCATATCTAAAAATCTTGACCCATTTGGTCACTGTTTATAATCACGGCTCCCACCTGCATGGCTATACATCTAGTTATATGTATATTCACCATATCCTATAGCTATACTATTGGCCAGTGTTTATATGCGCTGAGTCTCCTTCCTGCATGGCCATTCCCTTCTTCTTTATCCTATCCATATTTCTTCAGTCACTATCGTATGATGATGACGATGACGACGACGACAATGATGATGATGATGATACACAGTATTGAAACAATCTTTTTTATTTGTATCTGTGTTGTCATGGTCTAGAGGATATGCCACACAACTGTGGATCACATGGTTTGTGGTTTGAGTCCTGCCACGGCACTAATGTTCTATGGCAGGACATTAATCTACATTTGCCTCTCTCCACCCATGAGTAGTGAATGGGTACCTATACCTGAAATGCTCTGAGTGTCTTAGGTAATATATTTAAGTAATATTGACTGCCTTCTGGGCAATACGACATATATCGCCCGAACCGAAGGTGAGGGTGATATATGACAAGTCGTATTGCCCTGAATTAGGCAGTCAATATTACTATTATTAACCACATCAGACATCTAGAGCAAACAAGAAACTCTTACTATCTTATACTCTTAAATTATGTAGGCTACACAGGGTTTCCTAGCATTAGAAGTTGCAAAAACATTGTCAAACCAGCACTGTTCATCCAGTGTTTGACAGATTTTCGATACACTGCAAAGAGTTTGCCTAGGGTGTGATTGTTACGTCACAATGGAGTTCGCGCAAAGTGCGCATTTTCTAATACACGATGCGCGATGTAAATTACAATAGCTGATGCGCGATGTAAATTACAACTGGCACTACATTATTGCGCACTAGTTTAACACGCATTTTGCCATTGACTTTTCAGAGCGGGCTAAAATATTTGTCCATTGACTTACTGTATAACCTATATTGCCCGCCAAATTACACACAAATCCCATTGACTCTTCTGAGCGGGGTAAAATATTTGCGCATTGGTTTTCTATATAACCTATATTGCCCGCCAAATTACACACAAAATCCCATTGACTTTTCTGCGCGGACTAACTTATTGTAATTTTGTTGACTTATCCATCAAAACCTTGAGGGCAATACCATTTAAAAATTGCCCTGCTCAGATGTCTGATACGGTTAATAATTATATAATATTGACTGGCCTTGAGGGGTATATCAGATATATTGACCAAGCTCAGATCATATTGCCCCGAGTCGAAAGACGAGGGCAATATGGTCTTAGCGCGGTCAATATTTCTGATATCCCCCGAAAGTAAAGCCAGTCATTATTTTTATTGTTATCCAAATCAGACATCTAGAGCAAATACAGAAATCCACCATGACAATCTCAAGAACTGAACAAACTTTGTCAAACCAGCACTGTGCATCCAGTGCTTGACAAAATTTTGGATACACTGCAAACAGTGTGCATTTGGTGTGATTATTACGTCACAATAGAGTGCGCGCAAAGTGTGTAGGTTCTCGTACGCATAATAGATGCGCAATGAAAATGAAACAATATGGCGCGGTCAATAAGAGATGCCTGGATGCGAGACCGTGGAAAATACCAAGGTATATTTTCACTCGTCTCTACACGCAAAGTCAATACGCGCAGGGAGACCAAGGAAAATACAAAGAATATACCCCTCCGTTCCCACTGCTAGTGAAAACTAGGGCAATACGGTTTTGTAAATGACCAGCTCAGATGTCTGATACGGGTAATAATACGTTGTAGGTGCCTTGAACATCCCCTGGGATAGATACGTGCACAGCATAGATGCAGCTATTGTTATTATAAATTGCCTATTCTTCTTTCTGTATGACCACAGGAATAGAAACATTTATAATAACACATATTTAAGACATAATTTGATAATTTTTTTAAAGTTTCTATCTGTCATGCTCCCTTTCAGCACAACTAAAGCTATGAGTAATCTAACGAAATTTTTTCCATTTGAATAATGAATACTCCTAATTGGTGTACCTCAATTATTCATTTTTTTTGTCTCCAAACTATGATGTAACAACTTGGTACCCCTACAGACGTTCTTCCGTGAACAAGATTTAGAAAAGGACCCTTCTCTGTACTGGTCAGCATGCTCTGGACAGCCGTCTTCAAAGAGAGAATATCAGAGGCATACATGGATATTGTGAGAACTGTGAGGTTAAAGAGGAAGGTAGCATGAGAGACGAAGTAGGGCAGGAAACAGAAATCCTTGAAGAATAGTTCAGGTGTGCAACTGAAATAGGATGTAGAACTGAAGAGTTTCCCCCAAGCAACCAGAGCTCTACAGACAACATCTGGTGAAGTATCAAGAAGTATTCCCCTTCCGTTTATCTTGCTAAGCCTCCCAATGTTTGTGGTGCAGACAAAGAAATAGTTGGTCTAGAGCCAATAGGTGAGTTCCTCTAGATACATCACATGACTTTTCTTGAAATAAAAGAAATTAAAGAAATCCTTGGTTAAGATAAGGAAAATGATGTCATTGTTTATCCATGTCTCTTGTGCACTACCATACAATTGTGTGTCTGTCCAGATGTGACTCGGTGGTGAGAAATCAGATATAGCACTGTAGCACCAATCTTGAACTCAGCCGACAATCTCACAGGAAACCTGTAACGTATGATCAGCGGGCGTTCAATAAACTGGAACAATTAAAAGTGTTGAAGAAGAAAAGGCCTTTGTACAAAACAGCTTATATTCGTTTGAGAATAGCAAAAGCCAAATCGTTTCAATGAGGTTTCTCTTGGTTGATATGAATTTGAACCATTTCACTCCTTTGCTGAAGCAATTGCATTGGCTGCCAATTAGACAACTCATAGTGTATATACAAGTGTCTCCAAGGTAAAGCTCCCACCTATCTCAGTTCTGCAAGACCCGGCCTCCTTTCAAGTTCAGGCTGCCCCATACCCCATATGCCCAGAACAAACAGCAAAGTTACTGGTGATAATGCTTATCAAGCCTCTGCAACCACGACCATGAGGTCCGCTTGTCTCCTTCATTAGATGTTTTTTTAAGAAGGCTCTAAAAACTTTTCTATTCATTTGTTATCATTAAATTTTGCTACTTGTATGTTAAATTGTTTGAACTCTGTGAAACAGTTTAATATAGAGCACTATATAATGACTTTGTTATTGTTATCATCAACCTTCCTATTTCAAAACAATCTCACCTTGATCAATATCATGATACAGTACATGCATGTCCATCTAGTCTATTCAAATAAAGATAATGATGATGATCTGAGTTATACACCGGTAACATCTACAGATATATTATCACACCAGTCATCAGATTTAGGCTTGGCCAAATACAATGTGTGCACCTTCTCCACTACTTGGGAAGCATTTCAGCGGGCACCTTTTTATAGAAGCTCAACATATTCTGAGCAAACTAATATGACTTTCCCATCCTACCAGGTACCCATTTAACACCTTGGTGGAGAGAAGCAGTGGGAATGTCTTTAAACTGTTCCAACCCATACTACATCATCTGAAGAGGTCCAGAAGGATGACAACTCTCTGCAAAGTGACATACTTCTTGCTCTCACAAGATGATACATGTATAATCAAACCTGCTTTAGTGACCACTTGCACAGAAAGACCAACCGTCTATAAAGACCAAATTTTTTGTTTCCCTGAATACGGTTTCTTATTGATACCTGTACATAAAGACCATCGGCCTATAAAGATCACTTTTTGGGCCTCCCTTGAGAGATCTTTACATACAGGTTTAACCATATCTACCTACTACGAGCAGACATCAGTCTGTTAAATAATCAGACTATTTACCCATACTTCTGGTCCGGCTGCGGATTGAGTGGTACTCTTAGTCCTAGGTCCTGCGCGGAGGTCAGCGACTGAATGGTGACCTGTGACCCTTGACCCCAGAATGCATTGACCCCTGACCTGAAGTCATCTTGTTTCTCAGTGTCTAGAATGTCGGCTAGGTTCAGGTTGGTGATGAAGAAATCTGCCTGGTACTTAGAAGAGGAACCTGAGAGTAGGGAGTAAATGACATGGTTATATTGGTACCTTCCATCAGTGATGGGCAATGGAGAGAAACAGAATGAATTTCTTGCTATACTCAGCATGGATCTCAAAATGAAAAACAAATTTAAGGTCAGTTTATAAACTGACTGTCGTTTAGAACTCAAGAATATTACAAAATTTAAGTACATATAGGACTAAAACATTAAAATAATATTAGGAACAGGATTATCCCTGCCAGTTTGTTATATTCTATGATTTAAATAGCGATAATCTTCTTCTGACTTTCAACATTTCAGTCAGAGCAGTTATTCTTTGTGAAGACACCCCCCCCCTCCAAAAGGATGTATTTATGATACACAAATTGACATATTTAAAATAGTAGTACATTAAAATGGTGAGAACTATGTGGAGAAGAGATGTTGCATTTGTGTATCATGTACAAATGTTTCATAGTTTTACACACCTGTGTTTTCACTTATATAATTTCCTTATCTTGATCTTAAAATACCATTTTTGAGCATGATTTCCTTTCAACTAGCTATGAAAGCCAATAATACTTACAAGTTCCAATTAACAGGGAGGAAATGATTCATTATATCCTTTTCATATTGGCTGAATAAAGATACACAATGTATTTTAAAGTTTCAAGAAACACAATGAAAGTTAAATACTGTATACAAAAAAGAGCAAAAGAGTGATACAATACATTTGTCAACATGAATATAATGAAAAACTATAGCTTTGAAAAAGTATTCTATTCCAATGGACTGAAGTTCCTGTAATGTATATGTTTGTTGCTGCTTCAAATACTACAAAAATGAAAACAAAAAGATATGACTTTTTGCTTTATTCACTCAACACATCAAAAATACACTTGTACACTGAATCCCCTCCCTTTGCCCCAAAGGAACTAGTACCTTGAGTTCTGATAAAGGTGGGATTGGTATCCCTATGAATCATATATCATACATACACCCAGATGATTTCATTCTCAGTCAAATGGAGTTAGATCAAAATAGAGGAATCCTTGCCAAAAGTTTTAAAACTATGATTCTTGATTTGATATTGGATATTTTCCACAGGCAATAATGAAACAAGATCCATTCTAAGTTTTCTCCCCCCATTGCAAACTGAAGAACAGTAACAAAATCAACTCTGATTCACAGAAATAGAATAGTAAAGAGAAAGAAGGATACAGTATACAGACTAGAGAATAGGGGAATTAAAATATCTAAGGAAAACAAACGGAGATGTTTGTTTGACCTTATGTTTGTTCTCATTTTTATTTTTGTTACTATATATGCTTGATTTATTGAATAAAGAACATATTTATATTTTTTGTGTTTATTACAAGTTTTAGTTGGTAATTTTAAGTCAAGACAATGGTGCGCTTAGAAACACCTGTATTAAGCGCCTAATAAATGTTATATATTATTATTATTATTATTAGAGGAGAAATTGGAGGAAATAAGGGCTTTGAAAAAGTGGGAAAAAGAGATAGATGAAATTAAAAAGGCACAAGTTTCTAAAAAGAAAAAGAAAGATAAATAGAAGGTGAATATCAACAAACATAAAATCAAGTGCCCTTGAGACGGAGACAAGCAGAAGGAGAGATAGAAAGGAAAAACCATACAAACCTGTATTTTCTTCTACAGTCATCGGAACAAGTTTTCTTGCGCTCTCATACGTTCTGGAGTTGAGTCCTATGATCTGAAACAAACAATAGATAGATTTACAATGATCAAGTACATAACAAAAATTATTGATTATTCTTTTAACAACTTCCACATGTATATACCCTTCACAAGTAATATTGTCTCTGGACAACAACCAGAAGGGTAAGAACTAATGTATTTTAAACTGTATTATAACACCCTTCTGACTCTCAGCAGATGACAAGACAACTGCAATAGATAGAATTACAGGATTATTCCTGACACTAACAAGGAGAAAGAAAAAATATGTTGAATATCAAAATGAACAAATATTCTAAAAAATCTTACCCTGGATGATGACACACTTTAAAAACCATATACTAAATAAAAATGGGAAGAGATCAAGATAAAAATAATGCCTGTGGCAACTTTGTATAGGGGGCATGAAAATAGAGAAGGAAAATGAGATAAATTGGGTAATTTGATAGATAACTTGAGGCATTTCCAAAGGAGCAGCCTGAAGTGATCTTCATCACATCTTATTTCCTATGATACACTCCTACACAATCAGACTGCAAATGAGATCACTTCAAACTCGTCTTCTTTTCTTCTGGAAGTAGGTCAAATGACGGAAACAATTTCCATCTTGTGGCCAAGTAATTCAAGACACTTAATGGATCATCAACTAGTTCTTAACGTTAGTCATTGGAAGATGCATAAGAGATGTACTCCAGAGTCCAGATCCTATATTGGTCTCCTAAAAGGGCCCTGTTTTTATAGGTTTCCATGGAATTTAAAAAGCACTAGTCTGTAAAATTCTGTACAATATTGCTGTTTTACGGCTGATCAAAATAAATAAAAATACCCCAAACCTGAATACATACTTACATTTAAGTTTTTCATCTATTCATACTTGTAGATAGACATTTAAAGACTCAAAGTATAGAGATATATGTGGTATCTTGGGGGAGGGGGGGGGGGGGGGCTGTGAACTCAAAAACATGTTTTTGATTTTCAAAACTCATGTTCTTTAGTTTCATTTCATGTATGTCACAGATATTAACATTTTTTCATAAAACATATTCAGAGTACAGAATACGGAAAATTTAGGAAGTCATTAATATAGACTAAATAATTCTGTAATAAGAACAGAAAATTTCTTAGATTATATGTTCAAATTGTTCCAAACAATTTGCACATTTACTATTTGAAGCAATAAACTATTCTATGATAATGATATAATATAAGCCATTCACTAAAATCATAACTTTAAAACCTCACACTTTGTAAAAACCCTTTTTTATTTCTGAAGTTGGCTAGAAAGAAGAAGCTATGCAGACATCCTGAATAGATCAAGACAGCTATCTATCAGCGTACGGGATGGCTGAATAAATACAGATTCTAAATCCAATTTCCATGCAGACTGCAACACGTCAAACAAATTCCTCCCTATTCATCTTACAAATCAACCCATCTTCAGGAAAATAAAACAGATCTGGAGGGGGCACCAGGCAAAAAGGTTAATAACTGCTGAGAGCTAGAAAGATATCACGTCATATATTTGTATGTACTTATCATCCTTTTGACTCTTAACTCACGGACAAGATTCAGGGGTGATAGTGAGCACTAAAGAAAAGGAACCACCCCTAACCCTATCCCCCCCCCCCCCCTTGATTAAAAAAAAAGGAAAAAGGATTTGGGGGGGGGGGGGGAGGCATCTAACAACATTCCCCCCTTTTGAGTAAGGAAAATTGGGAACAAATAGGAAAAATAGGGGAAATGTGGAAAAAGGGGTAAAATCGGGAGGAAAAAAGTATGAATAAAAATCGGAAAGAAACAAAATTTGGGGCAAAAAATAATTAAGAAAAAACAGGGGAAAGAATAATAAAAAAATTGGGAAACCAATTTAAATCAGTCATCTATCAGGCCTGAAGATTAGAGCAATAAAAATTAAAGAGTACAAGTTCAAACCTTACCCATATTTTCAGTTGAATTTTAGTTGAATTGTTTTTCTAATGAAATGAATATTTGATATCACTGTCATTTACATCATTCTTAGCCAACAGCAATGGTTTTCAAATGTTGTCAATCATTTGTTAACAGCTACCAACTTTATCAAAATATGTCAGTATTCCCATGGATGGCAGGTTATTCCCATGAAAATATTAATATTCTGCACAATTATAAGTATGACATTTTTAAAATCAGTATAAATAGCATCACTGGTTTACACACAACTTGTAAATGATAATTGTTTGTAATAGAAACTGCCTAGACAACATGGACGACCAAAAAACATGGAAGGATACTAAGTAAAAACATCTTGCTGTAAAAAAAAAGAAGTTATGTCTCCATCTCACCGAATAGAAACAGAAACAGGACATTGAAAATGAAACACAGAGTCATATACCAGAAAGATAATTTACTGATTTGACTGAAGTTATAAGTCAGCAAATTATTTACCAAAATTACTTGTTTCCTCTTGATTACATGAAATTCATCACATTTTGTTCTGCTTTAAACCACATCTCTGATTTTTATCAAATTCTGATGAAATAAACCCCAGTGGCTGGCACACCTCTGCCTACCTAGCTGAACTGCATTCACTCAAGCTCATGGTTTTCCCCTTCGTTTCCCCATAGATCAAACCCTCTTGGTCAGGGAACATGCGTTATGAAATCGTTTGGGGAAGACGTTTCCTTTGACGCTTCCTTACACGTTGAAAGAAGAGAGCTTCCCACTCTTATCATCATCTCAACCATTGACATACATTAAATGTCATGGTCTGCAATTGAGACAGCCCTGGGAATTCAATGGTTTATAAACGCTCAAAGAAGAAAAAAATGTACCACTATGTTTTTGATGAAATTACAAATTGATAGCTATCATTAATTTCAGAGAAGAGGAAAATGTTTTTGCAAAATGAATTATAGAATGGAATGAGAGAGAAAGATGTATCCAGCTGTATTCAATCCCATTCTACTTTTATCTATTTACATGCCAATGGATAGAAAGATAAAGACACAGATAAGTGAAGAGTTAAATATACATAGCTGTGGATAAAAAAAATAAAGAGAAATATAGAGCGGTATGTAATTGAAACGATAGAATTATCCCTAAAACCCTCCCCTCTTCAAGACCTACATTAATTACAGAAAAAGTGAGAAAGTTTTCCAAAAGTGAAAATATAACGTGATAAGAGAATCTCAAATGTCTGGAACATATTATTTTCTAATTTTCTAATTTTCAAAGAGGCCCATCAAATTCCTCCTACATATCCAGGATAAACTTGGTGACTGACCTTTGAAAAAGGGGAAATTATTGATGTGATCCAAGAGTGAGATAGATAGATAGATAGATAGACAGGGAGGGAGGGAGAGATAGAGTGAGAGAGAGAAAGAGGGGGAGAGGGAGAGGGAGAGGGAGAGGGAGAGGGAGAGGGAGAGTTAAGGAAAAAGGAAGATTGGAGGAAAATTGTAAGGAAGAGAGAGAGAGAGAGAGAGAGAGAGAGATAAGGCAAATGGAAGATTGTAAGGAACATCATTCTTGTGTCAGCTTAATGCGTTACATCTTCCAAAAGTCCTAGATATTCTAAAGATTTGCAGCGTCTAAAACTAATGGAAAATCAGAGGTAAAATGAAGGAGATCAATAAGGCATAGCAAGAACAAATGTATGGCCAAACACCTGGTAAAGAAAATAATGAACTCTAGAGTTGATTGCAAATATAAAGACTAAGGGAACAAGTAATTCACATAGAATTAGACAACTCTCACTTGCTATAACAACATCACATTTCTTAAAAAGTGGAAGCCTCATAATTTAGTATTGTAAGTTCTCAAAAATTCCCCAGTCTGTGATTCTTAATGGAAAAATTGGAATATTCTTATGAAACAGAAATAAAAGTAGATATTATATGATTGTCCTGAAAGGAACTCATATTTGTACAAACCTCGAGATTAAATTGTCCAATGTTAGACCCTTGAGGTGTTCCATACAGGTACCCATCAGAGCGGTCAGCTGGCTGGATAAACTTCAGCCAGCTTGGTAGACTAGGTTTACTGACCAGGGATGGTCGAAAGATGATTGGATCAGTAGAATCTGAGAAAAAAGACGAAAAAAAAAATATATAGACCAGTTTAGTAGTGTATTCAAATGCTTGTATTTATCTTCCACGAACCCTTAGTGGTTATCCTACTCATTCACCGGTGATTTAGGATAGAGTAGGATAGATTCCATTTTTCATTTATTATATGTTGCTATGTTAAATAAGCTCTATATAGCCTCATACAAGATTTTAAGTCATTAAGACATAAATCTGAGTCAGATGAACAAAAATCTAAACTCATGGATCATTTTTTACTATTAAAGCAATGCAAACTTGAACTATTTAAGTTTTCAATTTTCTTGAAATAAAAAGATTTTGTGTAATATTTCAAAAGTTCTTAATGTACGTGGAAACAGACAATAACAATCATTTGTAAATCAAAAATAAGTATCTACATGGAAAGAAGCATGATATTAACCTTGGTTCCATATCAGTCTATTAAACTCTCAGAATTTGACATCATACTAATTACTATTTACAAAGAAAAAAATCTTATGAGTATATAGAATATATTATCAGCATCAATACCATCTAAGCATACATTTATGCACTAAGAAGAGTCATTAGAGCAATTTTTTCTTCTTTTTCACACCCCTCCAAATGTTTATTGATCTACAGCAGACAGAAAAGAGAGAAGGAAGTATTTAGGGCAGGTGATTAAAGTTTATGATAATATTGAAGAGAATCTGCGTCTCTGTTAAATCATCATTCCTTCCTTTCTCTTTATAAAGCTGACTGTCAATGCATTAAATGATTGATTGAGGATGCTGACCACTTGAGGAAAGGAAGTGCTTTACAATTCATATGATCAGCTCCTCACAAAATATCAGTGAATTTAAAAGGACACCGCACCCTAAAGTAAAAAGAAAATTTTGATACTCAGGGATTGTGTGAAGATAGAATATGATTATTGTTTTGTCGTTGGCTAATTTTTTCAGGATCAAATGCTAACTACCTGGTTATTCTCCCCTTTTTGTTTGGTATGTTAAAATTTAAGTAAATATACAAACAAAATCATAACTACCCCCTGGTTTATGCTAAATTAACTATTTATAAACTTTCATGGGTCATCCATGCCAAGGTAATAAAGGTTTCTCTTTTTCTTGCTTATTTCAAGATTTAAATGTTTATATATTTGATAACTAAAATCAATCAATCAGTCTTAGTGCAGACTGAATGATACATGAATACTGACACTCTAACAGGTTTCATTAACTTTCTCCTTGCATGCCAAATACAAGACCTTTGGGTTACAATGGTCAGACAAAACACATTAAATGTAACTTTGGAACAAAACCAAGGTGTCAAATATAAATTTGGCAGCCTATAAATAGATAAAACCAGTAATTACATGAGTTATGACTAATAAGACACACTAATGTTTGCCAATTTTTTTATTTTCTTGACTAGCCACTGAGCTTCCCACCACACCAGCCACAATTCCCAGGGCTTAAGAAGTCATAAATCTAATGACAAATACAAGAAACTCCCTTAAAATGCTAACTTGGTAATACCTCTTATGTAAGTTCTGAACATGATATAGGAAACATTTTATTGGTTTGTGGTTCAAGCTCATTAAAAAATGAGCAATGATGTCATTAAACTGTTAATAAATATTTTACACTCCCTTGTAAGGTTGCCTTGGTGTTTTTGGATGTTTTTGATAAAGAAACTTAATAATATGTTTGATTGGTTGATTGCGAAAGCCCACATAAATTCTGACCAATTAGAATCATTATGTCACTGAAACAAATCACAGGTATTTAAATGTGTATCATTACACTGTACACCCATAAAATGTGCAACGTTACTCCAAATAGACTATTGCATCAATATTTAGAACTTTGGTCGGAAAAAGATGCATCATACCTATTCCTCATACACCACAAGACACATTTATAATGTTTATTATATCCCTCATGTATAGTTTCATGTATGTCTTTCTTGGCTCTAGCAAACTATGAGCATTCAGAGGCATAAATATTGATTTTTTCCTCAAGGTAAATCTATATCAAAATAGTAAATTTGATATAAATTTGCTCTCGGGAAAGTTACTATTTATGCCTCTTCATTAGCTCATAGTGTTTGCTAGACCCTCAAGAGGTATTGTATATTTGTATACTATATCATAGAGTTCCAAAGATGTGAAGAAATTTAGATAAATGTAAAGGTGAGCTCAGATTTTGTGATTAATCTTGATCCCTTCTGATGTGTGAGTACATGAATGTTCTCAAGGTACTAACCAAGTGTGTACTCATCAAAGTAGTCTGTCCTTAGGATAGGATGTTGAAAGTTGACTCCCGAGAGGATGGTGAGTGCCTGGATAAGATGAGGGTGAAGGACGGCCAAGAAGATACCTGTTATAGAAAAGCAGAACATAGAGAGACAGAGTTATATCATGAACAAAGACAGAGTGAGAGACAGACAGAGGGAGAGACAGAGAGACAGAGGGAGAGACAGAGAGAGAGAGAGAGAGAGAGAGAGAGAGAGACAGAGGGAGAGATAGAGACAGACAGACAGAGAGAGAGAGAGAGAGAGAGAGAGAGAGAGAGAGAGAGAGAGAGAGAGAGAGAAGTGGGGGGGGGGGGAGAGAGAGGGAGAGAGAGATAGAGAGAATGATTAAAAAAACTGCAATATACATTTCATGTTGTTAAACATTGCAAATGTTGGCATGCTTCCTAGGGAAAATGTTTATATTTCCTCTACGGGTAAATCATCATCAATCCCCTACTACACAATCCATTAATTCCTGTAAGCCCACCATCTAAAGTTGCAAAATAAAAGGTAAATGGCAACAAAAATACTTTCAAGTGAAGGTTTTCAGGTTACTCCACTCTGAAGAATAGAGCAGCAGCCCCGATATTACAATAGTCACAAAGCATGAAAGTAGAGAGCCTGGTCCAAACAATAAACATAGAGAATAGAATGAGCTAGGCTTGGGTAAATCCTATGGATAAGCCCTTGGATAGCCCAAACTTTATGAATGAGATGAACAGAGTCTGGTAAACACGATCACTTCAACGTAAACAGCTATAACAAGTAGAGGCATACACCCTAAGAGATTCATTGAGACCTGGTCCTGTTTTGTTTAGCCCTAGCCTACATGAAGATCTGTTGTGTATAACTTGCCAGGATACTACGCAGCTTTTTGAGGATTCAGAAAATCAGAAAGTGCACAAGGACATATAAATTGTGTTGAGCTGCCCCTTTATGGAATAAGAACATCTTTTTTTTGGTGCTGCACATGTGTGGAAGGAAAACAACTGTTTTTGCTGTGCTAAAATTTGTGGAATGGAAACAAATATTGTAGCTGCACTTCACTTTTGTGAAATGAAGGCAATTGTTTGCACACAAGGACTTTACTTGCTTCATGAGAACTCTGGTTGGTAAATTAGCGAATACTTTCTAGTGAAGGGCTTCACTGAGATTCAGGAATACTAAAGGGGTCAATGTGCATCAGGCAAATTTCTGTAGAATTCAACCCCTTTGAATGTGAGACTTTTGAGACGCCATGGTAAAAACAAATAACATCATTAAAAAAAACATGGCCTTGACAGCAATATTTGTGGTTTCCTTTTGATAAATTTTACCTTTAAAATGGAGTGGGCGGGTCCAGTGGCATATTTTGGTAGGGGTCACTTGGAGTTTCAATAAGATGAGATTTATTTAGGTTGTTGATAGCTAGCTTACCACATCATTATTGGTATTCAATATCTTCATTGAAGCAAAGTGCCTCTCAAATACAAGCGATTTCTAAAAGAATACATTTTAGAACTTTATCCGTAAACATTTTTTGTTACTGTACACATGTGTGGGAAGATAATACTTTACTTTGCATACCTAGGATCTTCTAACACATGGTGGCTAAGTACAATAGGATTGTGAGTGACATGACAGGTTAATGAGTTTTTTAAATCCTTGTTATATAAATAGCATAAAAATAGAGAATAATAAACTGGAATGAAGGAAATTTGGGTCTAGTGAGGTCATTTTGAAAATCACAATCAATATATATGAGTGCAAGTATTAGCATATATGTTTGAAGTAGGTACCAGTAATAGGATACTGTAAATGCTGTTATTTTTGTGGGTTCTAAAATTCACGCTTGCCGATCTTAGCGCAAAATCCGTGAAAATTAACGTACTGCAAATATTTCTACTTTTACAGTTCTTCTACTTCTACGACGATACTCAGCAGGATCCATAAGTCAGGATGTAGTGCTGAGGAATAAACTATCTAGTTCTTGTATAGTGCTGAGGAATAAACTATCTATCTAGTTCTTGGTCTAGTACTCTTGATCAAACTAATTGGAAGTAAATGTACAATTTATACTTTGTCAAAATGTCAATGACTCCAATGGAGTTTAACATGTCTTTGTGACATGTTGACTATGCTTTTAAAGAGAAGGTCGAGTTCTGGGAAGAGGTGAAAAATAATTTGTGAGCATTACTCATTCTTATTATGCAAGTGTGGAAGAACATCAGTTAAGACATGTTCCCAGAAAAGCATGGTTCTTCAAATGCCTTCATATTCTAAATATGCATGTAACATCGTAAAAATCGGGGGGGGGGGGGGGGGGGCCGGCTTTTTACGCCACGTGTTCGTGTAGTCCCATATACATCTTTCTGTGCAAGTGTTTGTAACTTTACCAAGACTTGGCCAAATTTCTTATCATTTTGATGATTCCAGAACCTTGCAATACACACAAATTCTTATATGCTAGATGATCAACCTTTTCTGGTCGGTTCCACACCGTTTCTTTCACAATGCAATCGCATGACCAGAACTCAACTTCGTCTTTAACAGCTGAAAACACGGGTCATCATCATATCAACAAAGTCTGTATGGATTCACACAAGAATAGGCCTAGCTCGATCAAGCAAAGGTGAAGCTCCACTTCCTGCAACGATCTTTGACTCTTATTTCCTGAGACCTTGAGACCCATTGTCAATGATAAATGGACTCTTTTGAGGATAATGACATTCAACCATTGGAAAAGAAAAGCAAAACATTTTGGATCAGTTTGGGACATGAGAAGCGTATGCTTGTAGAGAGTTTATTTTGATGTGAGCGAGCTAACTATGTATGACAGGTTGGATTATTGAGCAGACACGATCAGCTACAAGCTAAAAGTTGTCTGTTTCAACTGAATGTTTCTAAATTTAGCCGAGCTGGAAGGGATTTATTTTGCAGTGATGATCCAAGGTAGATTGATCATTAATGCGCTTCTATTACATCGTGGTGAGTTGAACATAAGTGATAACACTTGGTTTGATTCAATGAGCCTGCAGAGAGTTCCAGACACATTGCAGTCCTGTATGTCTGTTCTATATACACCACATAGAGCTGAAACAGAGAAGTGATCAACAGGACCGGAAAAATGGAATCCCTGATACATGCCATGCATCAGAGAGTGATAAGTGGATTGTATATCAGCCCTTCTGTTAGGATGTAAAGCAGAGAGTAAGAGAAGTCTACAAGGAAGACCTACATGGTTTCTTCAAGGACCACTTGTCAGATGAACCTGTACAAAGCAAAGGAACTGATGATACCAATTGTTGACAACCAAGCAGAACAAGCTTCATTAGGATCACCTGGATACAGTGGATATATAGAGAGCTAGGTCAGTCTTGAACCTTTCCGGATCCATGTCAACTCAATCTTTACTAGAGAAAGTCACTAGACCACTTCATCAACTGTTCTCAACTGCTATGATAGCTATTTATTGAAACTTATTAGTTGCTTACTTTAACTAGGTAGATTGTTAAAACACTGGTTTGTTGTCAGCTCCAGAACAAAATTACTATTGGTATCTAGGAGCTCTTTTTTTATTTGCTATTTGAAAAGTGAAGTTTCTTTGATTGCAATAGGTCATACTGTAGGCTTTGATATTAGTTGCAACTTATTTTAAACATCTCAAACTTATCAACTTGGAGTGACAAAAATTAACATTTTAACACTTCTGGCAATCAGCAAATACCGATAGGCCAATTATAAGCTTGTAGGTCAAAGAAATATCTTTAAAGTTTGTTGTCCACTTGATGAATGCTCAATAACATTCTTACCTATAATTTTTAGCAACTTTCAGCACTCATCGTAATGCACCAATTCTCATGTCACAATTGAATGATGTTCCATAAATAGGATGTTCCCTACCCCTTTGACAACAACACACCAAATTGGCAGCCATCGGGGTTTGGATTTGAACCCATACCTGACCTCTAGATTCCACTCACTGAAGAGCCATACTAACTAGAATAAACACCAATCTCTCTCTCTTCATCTTGTTCTGGACATGTTCTGCTATCTGTCATGTTATTACACTGGAAATGCACTTGCACAGGGACAATTCTCTGAGGTACAAACCTTTTGTTACTATGATTTTGAATCTTCCATTCTTTACAAAGCAGGATTGTAGCATTGGTAGGAACAGAGTCCATGGTAGGAATGATGGGTATGGTGTTGGTGTATTCTGTATGTACAGCTATGTTTTCAAAAAGTTTTAAACTAGGTGAGAGCATAGACATATGGAGAGAGATTAATGAAGCTGTTAAATTAAGTGGATCAAATAGACTGCATTGATATTGGTTCATCGATCTACTTCATCTCATTGCAAAAAATCAGGACACATCTTGCGGTGCCTAGTAACAGAAATCAAGGAAAGGATTGACCAATATTTCATCTTTGTGAAAATGATGATGGACTTTGCACATTGGTACTTCAATGCGTAGTATTTGGACATCACTTCAGTACTTTTTCACCGAGCAAAGGGAATATTTGGATCCTAGTGACCACCACCAAGGCAGCTTTGGAATGTTTCTTTTGTGCCGCTCTGAACAAATAGCTTAAGAAAAAGTGACCACTTACAAAAGGACTTCTGTTGCACTGGACCTCTTCTTCAATCGCTTGTACATTTTAGTTTTAGATCTTGTAATTTCCTGCTACTCTGGACAAGTTCCAGTAGTACTTTACTGAAGGAACAGAGAGTGGATTAAGAACTCAGGATGCACTTGGATTACAAGCACCTCAATGCAAATTTGGATATTTCCCACGCAAAGTTTTGCTAGCTGGGCAACTTTCAACTATTTCACTGCTTCTGAAGAGGATCAAACTTCATACACAATTACCGTTATTAAAAAGAGGTAGCACAATCATAACAAATTTATTAATATATTCACTATATATTTTAATTGATATCTAATGTTCTTGACCTATAGAGAAACTTTTTACCAATATTTATAATGATTGAATTTATTGAACTTAAAAACAAAACATTAACAGCTTGAAAAATAATTGGAAAAAAAAATCATCATTTTCTCAAAATTGTTTTGCAAAACAGTTTAAAACTGAAATATGA